GTATTGAAGAGAAATCCTTGTAATAGTACTGTCAGCAATGATGACTAAAATGACCCTTAGGATAGATCCTTAAGGAAGAATATATAAGAAACCGGGGATGGGTAATTGGGTTAATTGTTTGATAATTAAACATATTAACTTTATTATTGTGAGTTGAAAACCATATGTACTCACCAGGTTTCCCAACCTGACCCGCTTAGTTTCAATGTATCACAGGTAGTGGTACAAAGTTGAGAGATGTAACGTCCATAAAATTCATAAAAATTTTAAACTTTTCAAACATTCCATAACCATCCATTGTTTACAAATTGTTTTCAAAATAGTTTAACATCAGAGAAATCCCAGAAATCATAACATAAAATATGAGGAAGTGCACGATCAAGCCTTCGCCTTCCCGCGATCATCCGATGTACCTGAAACAAAATCCACAACTGTAAGCCCAAAGCTTAGTGAGTCTTCCCCAAAATATCACCACATAAACATATCCAATAACAACATGCATAATGAGCCTTCAGCTTAACTGGACCGCCTCGCAGGGCCTTCATCCTATCTGGACCGCTCTCGAGCCTTCGGCATGACTGGACCGCCTCGCATGGCCTACAGCCTATCCGGACCGCTCGCCGGGCCTTCGGCCTGACTGGACCACCTCGCATGCCTTCAGTCTATCCGGACCGCCCTGGGTCTGTTGGCCCACAACACAAAGTAGGACCGCCTCAACCCAACCACACACACATACATACATGTCAACATATATAGCAATTAAACACATAACCAGTCTACAGACAAACAGGCAGATCTTACAGATCACTAAGCATGACATCATCTTATCTATCAGGATACAGATCTATCAGATCATAGCAACATAGCAACATTCTACTAGGATAAACACCCAACAAGGGCCGGCATTGGTGCCTTCGACCCATAAGTATAGTGAGGAAAAACTCACCTCACGCTGACGTATCAAACAAATCCTCCGGCCGCTGGCTCACGAAAACGTCGAACTATCAAAATAATTAAACCTCCAATTAATAATTGGATTATCACTTCAAATCTCTTAACTCATAATTGTCCATTAACTCTTCCTTAACTAGGCCAAATCCCAAGTCCAACCTTGATCCAAAAGGTCCAAAATATACAAGGCCCATAATCGGCCCAATTTTCCAAATTGGGCCCAACTCCCTAATAAACCTCATCCTAAGGCCCAATTTCCTTAACTGGACCAGAATACTTCTACTCTAAAAGTCCATTAAGGGCCTAAGCCCAAACTAGCCCAAAGGTGGCCCAAATCCGAAGCCCAACTCGCAAAAACCCATCTGAGGGCGTACGCTGGGCGTACCCCGAAGCTATGTGGGGCGTACGCGAGCCTTGCGTTGACTAGAAAACTGGGACGTTGATTGCGTACACGGGGCATACTGCTCTCTATGCGGGGCGTACCTTCGTTGTATTCAAAACTCCAATAAGTGCTTAATGAACTACAAAACTTTTAAGTGATATGTTTAGCTTCTGAAGCTTTTTCAATGAATAAATGGGATTTGCTTTGAGTCCATGGACAAGTTATTCCATTTTTATGAGGTTTTTGAACTTAGGGTTTTAGATATAGCTTTATGGAGTTGTTTAGATGGATAAAGTTGGAAAATTTATCCATTAAGGTGCTGTTTGATTTTTTGAAGCAAAAATTCATAAAGTCTACGGACCACCTCTACAACCCTCTGCAGTAGAAGAGGTGGACCAAATGGCTACAGATTGTAATAAGAAGCGTGTTTGTTTTTTTTAACATCTGCATACTGCTGCAGATATTAAAAAATTAAAATAAACTGATTTTATAATCCGAAAATAGTTTTTTAATACCAAAAATTTAATACTGTATGACATTTTGGCAAGAATTTATGACATTTCAGCAAAAAATAATGATATTTTAACAAAAAATAAAGATATTTTAGCATAAAATAATGATATTTCATCAACAAATTATTATTATTCAATATAAAAAAAGAAAAAAAAAATTCAACAAGATTAAACAAAAAAAACGAAAAAAAAATATGAAATAAGATTTCAGCAATATATAATTAATATTTTAGCAAGAAAAAAAGAAGAAGAAGAGGTTGGAAGAGGTAGGAAGAGGCGAAACAAGTGTTGCGCCAATAAGAACACGCGCAGAGGTTTTTTAATCCTAAGACTTCTGAAAAACAAACAGCTGCGAGATAAAAAGTGTTGCGCGTGTGCTGCGCCGAGTAGCAATAAGAGGTCTGAAGATGTTTTTTCCGAAAAACAAACAACACCTAAGTCCCTTAAGAGATTCATATTTGAAGATTATGAACCTTGATCTGTATGGAGTAAGCACTTAATGAGAAGATGGGTTCTGGCCAAAAATGCGGCATGCCCAATGGAGGTTTGTGATGCGGTTACACGTTGCATCGCATTTGTTTTGTCCTTTTAGTGATCACGATGCGGTCAAGGGGTTAGGCCGCGACATGGTGGCCAGTGATGGTTGATTGTTTGACTTTGACTGTTGACCCTTGAATTTTTGACCAATTTGACTTTTTGTCAAACTTGGTTCGAATTGAGTATTTAGCTAGGGAATGGTCTCGGTTTGGAATTAAGTAGCTTGTGTTAGTTGTTATGTTATTGAGGTTGCTGTTGAGCTTCTGTTGTGTATCCTGGTGTGTTAGGAATAGGATGGTGTTATGTTGTTGCAAGCTGTTAGACAAGTAGACTAGTTTAGACAATTACATATGTTGTTGGATTGTTGTTGATTGATTGTAATATATATATATATATATATGTGTGTGTGTGTGTGTGTGTGTGTGTGTGTCGACATATCTTGTGGCGAGTTGAGGACGATCCAAATTTGTGCTGAAGGTTAAGATACTCAGGGCAAACCAACTTTATGTTGAAGGCCAGGGTGGACTAGCCTTGGGCTAAAGGCCAATGTTTCTATGATTGCACGTATTGTGTGATTTATTGTATTTTCAGATACTTTGTTAGATCATGGGAAGGCAAAGACGTGACTGGATACATACACATCAACAGTTTTATGATTTGAGATTAATGCTTTCCTTTATAACTCTGATTTTGGATTGTGGATTATAAACAAATGGTTTGACTTGATTATAACTTAACGAAAAAGATGTTTATTGTAAAGTAAAAATGAAAATTTTATTCTGAAAATTTGGACGTTACAAAATCACATATGTATTTTTGTTTATTTTATGAGTATTATGAGATTTCAAAATTTTATATTGTGAATATCGTTGATAAAGGTTTTGGTGATCTTTGGAAGTGACTGGAATCGATTTTAAGCCATTAGATATTATTTAAATGGTTAAAAGCGTCCAACTAGAAATTTAATGAAGTGCTTGAGCATGTAATCTTACGTGACGCGTAACATATACCTATGCTACGCATACAATGTGACGTAAAATGATTTTGTACGTTGCTATTTCAAGAGAAGAGAATGTACTTTCTTAACATCTGATACACCAAGAGATTATTATTTATACCCCCTTCCGACAAAGACAATTATAAAGTACAAGTTATCATTAGAGATTTACGCCATTCAATCTAATCCAATGAATACAATTTTCCACGATGCATGAGCCAAGAAAAAAGGGAAATTTGAATATCATCAACCAGTTTATCCACCCTTGTCTTAATCTGATTGAAGACGAACTTGCTTTCCATAAAGCCCAAAATATGGTTCCAATAAGGGCGTTAATCACTTTTGTCTTTTTGCCATCTCCACCCGTTGAAACCTTGACAACCCTAAACAGTTTTGAGAATGAATTAACTACCCCCAAATGGAACTCCACACCAAGGCGAAGCCCAAACCCATACTTCCTTCGCAAATGTGCAATATAAAAATAAATGAGCAACCTCTTCATTTCCTAATAGATAAATCGAACATGTAGTGGTTTGTACTAGGATTCCTCTTTGTAAGCGATTAGTTGATAACGAGATTATATTCTTGGAATAGTTGGTTACCTATACTTTTATAGGTAGCCAACTGTTCCAAGAATAAAGCTCAAGTTGTAGGTTATTTGAAGCTCATACCATACACTTTCGAATGGATTTGACATAGAATATCTTTGTACTATCTCCCATATAATCCCACATACCAGGAGCAGCAACAAAATCTTCCAACAAGGTTAGAGTGGCAAATTGAAATCTACCTAAATTATACTCCATCCGTTCCAAAATTATTGTCTACAGACAAAAAACACACAGATTAAGGAAACATTAATTACCATTAACTTTATTAAATGAAATGACAATTATACCATTTTGTTGCATTTAATTTTATGATAGTTGCATTAATTTCATTATAGTTTTAACTAATAATGAAGGGTATTTTGGTAAAAAATAATATTTATTTTTAGAAGTGGACAATTATTTTGGGACAAATCAAAAAGGAAACATTGACTATTAATTTGGGACGGATGGAATATAATAAGAACATAATTTCTTTTTGATAACTCATTGAACACAGTTAACAAATAATAACTTAAAAACAAACAATACATCATTTTATGACATTATTCTTTTAGGGAAATCTCCGATAAAATTCAAATATTTTTGGTCAGTTTATGATTCACAACATTTATTTTTTGAACAGAAAATTTTCGATTATCTAATTTTATATGATAATCTGTCATTTTCTGTTGAAAAAAATAATAATGATTGTTTCGTTAATTTGAGCAAAATAAAAAATATTTGCGATTTTTTCATTCAAAAAATAAAAATTGAAATTAAACCGTAAACTGTTCAAAAAATATTGGGATTTTATCTGATATTTGCCATTATGTTATGTCATTTTAAAGGTTTAAAAAAAAGATGAATGTTATAAAACGAAAATTAAAATGCAAGGACCAAAAATTGAATCCAACTTATTAATTTGATTTGATTCGATTCGATTCGGATGAACACCTGCCAAACACAATGATTTAGAGAAGAGATATAGCGTTGGAAAGTTAATCATCATTTATCAGCAGTAGCCATGTTCAATGTCCGATGAACAACGAATAACACCACGAATCAGGTTGTCACTCTACTTTATCTCCCCCAAACCCCCCTTATAAATCGATCACCTCATCTCTCAGCTTCCACACTCTATCTTCACAGTAATCAGCGAATCGCAAAAATCAATTCCGGTGAAGGAGAGATGGCACAAGTTAACATCGTGAAGAAGCTTTCCATGCTCGCAGTCGTCGTCGTCGTACTCTCGGCCGCATCATCCGTGTCGGCTCAGGCTCCTGCACCTTCTCCCGATGCCGGAGCGGCCTTCTCTCTCCATGCTTCCGGCGTAATGATTGGAACTTCTCTGCTTCTCTCCTTCGCCGCTATCTTTAGAAATTGATTTTCGTTCTTTTGTTTTCAATAATTTGATTATTCATTTTCGTTTTCATTTGTTGTATACTAGGTGTGAGACCCATGTATTACATGGGTTTATTTAAAAAAATATATATATAAAATTTTAACAATTTGAAAAGTTTGAATTTATAAGAAAAATGAGAAATTTTTTGCATTATTAAAATTAATGTGACTTTAATGTATTGAATACATTACATATATAAACCCTTTCTAATAAATACCTTACATATTAAATGTGGAATTTTAATTTAATAAAATGAAAAATACAATAAAATGACAAGTGGAAAATAGTAAATTTAAAAATTTTAGAAAATGTCATGTGTTCAAATGAAGGAGAAGAGGACATGTGGCAAAAAAACTTTCATTTATTAGAGTAGATTTGTATGTTTGAATTCATTTGATTCCTTTTTGTATGGAAACCCAATAAATTAATTACTGTCAACACGATGGTTTTATAATTTCAACATATTTTTATTCGACGCTGCATATCTTTTGGTTCTACGAGTGTTTGAGTCCTTCCATCGAATCGAAATGATTGAACTACATTTTGAATGCAAATATAAGTTTAAAACATATAACCAATGCCTTCAAGTTTCACGAGGGAGTTTGTGATTTTTTTTTGGTATGAAAATGATTATTAGCTTACGAAAATAAAGTTCAACAAAAACTGCAAATTTGATCTTGTGGCTTGCAAAAAATGTAGATAAAGTCCAAAATTTGTTTAAGTAATAATAATTAGCTTTTATTATGAATATCTATGATATCCCAAGTTTGTGAAACTAACTAATGAAGTATTAATAATGTGAAGTCACATGGTTAATATATGGTTTGTACACTTAAGCAATAAGAACCAGATAATTTCTTTCAAACATAAATATGTATTATTATTATGTATTATAATATGAATTTGAAAGGATACATATAAGTGTCCAACTATGAAATAGAACTTGATAAATCATGAAAATGTATATAACATGATATCAGTAACCTACAAGACTACAAGTTATAGGAAGTGTCTGGAAAGGATTTGAGACATTATTAATTAGAAATATAATATATTTTATAAAGAAGTAATATATATGATTTAAATATTAGAAATCATACGTTACGGTTTTTATATTAATCTCTAAATTACAAGGTGTCCAACCTCAATTTGCTTTGAATAACAGCAAAGCAAAATGTTGTAACTTGCAAGTCAATGATTAAAGGGGGAAGCTAGGGTGTGCCAACACAACAATAAATGTGAAAACTTTGAAGGTTCTTTCTTGATCAATACGTGCTCGGCTGTCACTCTAAGTTTCCCTTAAAAATTCATACCTTTCATCGTAATTTCTTCACCCACCATAACACACACTACGTACTCCATCTTCACATTCACAACTTCATATACACGTACTTTTATTCAAATTCTATTTTCATTATGAACATATTAACGGGTTAACATTCTTCTGTATAGTCACTTACACTTACACTATGAATATAATTAGTTTAATTCAATTTTCATTATGAATATAAGATAATAACATTCATATGAATAATCACTACCACTTTCAATATGAATATTACCGGCCTACATATGCAATTTATATGAACATACTATTATCCAATTACAGTTACATTATGAATATAACATATTTATTCAATTCAAATATAATGATTTCACATTCATTTACTCATACCGATAATAAACCTACTTAAACTTTCAAATTACTTAAAACACAAATCTACACATAGTTATTCTTGTTTGTACAATTCCTAGAATCATGATTTCCAACTTTTGTTGCATATTCTAAAAAACTTTTTCTTCTCTTCTATAAAGCCTTCAGATTTCCTTGCACCTAACAAACTGAAATCTCACATAGCTAGGGCTGTAAACGAACTGAACGTTCAACGAACTGTTCGTGAACCGTTCGGCGGGAAGTTCGTTTATGTTCGTTTATTTAATAAACGAACGAACATAAACACAAATTATCGTTCGTTTAGTTAAACGAACGAACATGAACAATTGTCTCGTTCGTTCAATTATGTTCGTGAACGTTTGTTTATGTTGTTCGTTTATGTTCGTTGATATAATTCATTTTATGTTCACATAAGCTTATGTGTTTGATTAAATTAGTGTATTATATGTTCATTTATGTTCATATATCTTCAATTATGTTTTTTTTATCTTTGTTCATTTATCGTCGCTTGTTTATGTTCGTTTAGCATGTTCACGAACATAAACGAACGAACATGAACAAGAAAACTCGTTTGTTTATCCGTTCGTGTTCGTTTATTTGTTCGGCTAACTTAAACGAACGAACATGAACAATCCCCGTTCGTGTTCGTTCGGTTCGTTTACAGTCCTACACATAGTATTACTATTTAAAAAATTACATATTGCATTACTATATGAGATGTAATAAATGTATTACCCCTCGTGGATTTACATAATCATCATCAAGGTTGATATGGATGATCGGTTTACTAGAAAACATCTTCTTAAGCTATCTTCAAAACAACCACAAACTATCTATTAGTGTTACGGTTTGATTTTGTTTGTAAACCGATTAGCATGAACCCAGAGAGATAATGGGTAGGTTTTAAAACCGCAATTGTGATGCATATGCCATTTTTGGGTTGGGTGTGGTAATGTCATTGGACCATAAACTTGTTAAAGTAATAATATGTAGATTTCATCTTGAATACCTACAATATCTCAAGTTTGTGAAACTAATTAATGATGTATTAATTTGAAGTAATATAAAAGAGAAATCTTATATTTTCTTCCTACTCATCCTCCTACACAAGTTAAATGATGATATGTGACACATTTAATGATATTAATAATATTTTAATACATTTGTCACCATTTAATATGAGTATGAAGACCGTATGAAGAAAATATAGGATGATTAGAACTAGATAAATTCGTTGAAAAATAAATATGTAGATTATGATATTATCTATTACAATATGAATTTGAAAGGATAGATATAAATGGCCAACTATAAAGTTCAACTAGATAAAGCATAAAAATGTATATAACATGATATAGTGACCTACAAGCAACAAGCTATGGGAATTGTTTAAAAAGGATTAGAGAATTAGTAATCAGAAATGTAATACATTTTATAAACAGGTAATATATATTATTTAAATATTAAAAATCATATGGTAGGGTTTTAACTTTTTATATTTATCTCTAAATTACAAGGTGTCCAACCTCAAATTGGTTTTTGAATAACAGCAAAATGTTGCAAGTCCATGATTAAAGGGGAATAATGAAAGATGTGCCAGCACAACATTTAACATGTAATGTGAAAAGCTTGAAGCCTCTTTCTTTCTTGAATATCAAATACGTGCTCGGCTGTCATGCACTCTAACTTTCCCCTTTAAAACGCATACCTTTCATCATAATTTCTTCACCCACCAAACAAACACACTACAATCTACACGCATACTCCGTCTTCAGTCTTCAGATTCACAAATGGCGCAAGTTAGCAACATCATGAAGAAGGCTTCTGTTGTTGCCCTCGTGGCAATCTCGGCGGCAGCCACCGTGTCTGCTCAAGCGACGGCTCCTGCACCTTCTCCTGACGCCGGAGCTGCCTTTTCCGTCCAGGTTTCTGGAGTAATGATCGGAACATCTCTGCTTCTTTCTTTAGTTGCTTTCTTCCGGAATTGATTTCAATTTTTGAACATCTGATCACCGGAGATTTCTGGAAGATTGGTTTTTTCGCATGTTATAATTTTGTTTTCTGTGGCATTGTTTCATTCTATGATTCTGTTTTGATGTATGAATTATTAAACATTTAATTTTTGTAAATCTACTGTTTATTTGTAATTTCAATTAAATCTTTCTTATATTTTTCATGTTGAAATTTATATTCTTTTTCGTATTTGTCTTTAACTTTATAAGAGGATTTATAAATGGGATTGCTACCAAAAAAAAAGGGAAGTGTAATATTGATCACATATTTTACAAAAATGTGTGAAGTAAAATTATTTTTCTGTCCCTTGCACTGAAAAATTCTACTTATTTTATGAAATTATCATATTTTGCCAAATATTTATTCATATTTTATGAAATTATTTTTAAAAATATCTACTATTTTTGACACTTTGCGAATGCAATACTACAATATTGATCTCAAATGGTGTAAAATGCTATACAAATAAAAAGAAGTGTCCTATTTATACTTGATCTTACACGCCATTGTATCTGTAATACAATTCGGATGAACTGTAAGTTTTTGTCTTGATCATGGAAACTGAAACAAATTTTTGTTTGTTATTGTGATTCTCTGAAAAACGTTTGTTAATGAAAAATAAGTAAGAAAAACATCAAAGTCGTTGTAGTATAGTGGTAAGTATTCCCGCCTGTCACGCGGGTGACCCGGGTTCGATCCCCGGCAACGGCGTTTTTTTTTTTTTGGCACCTTATGTTATCTTTTTTTTTTTTCTCATATAATGTGTATCGCCTGAACTGGAATCAACTTCATCCTTGTTTATGAAATTAAAAAAAAAAATGAAACCCCTTTTGATAAAAAAAAGAACACCAAATATTTTTTTAGCAGTTCTTTATGCAAAGGATTTATGTATGTTTACCCATCTGTGAAAATAAAGTAGATTTTTTTCATCCATTTATTTAGTAAAAAAACGAATCAATTTATGTAACACATATTTGATTTATTATCAATTTATTAGAACATAACATATTGAACCAAACTGCTTTTAGCCTAGGCGATGTTAGCTGTTGACCTTATTATTTGAAGTGGAGGGTTCAAGTCTCATTTAGAACATAGGCGGACTAAAGAGTAGTTTACGAGTAGATTAAATTTGTCGTTAAAAAACATAATAAAACATTAGTGCCAAAGTAATCAGATTCGGAAATATAGTTCATTTTTTAATTGATTTTTGGTTTGAGTTTGGTCTCATGAAGTTTAGACCAAACCGAACCGAATAACTGAAATGCAATAATTAATAAATTAAGAAATATATTTTATATTTTGTATATTGGATAAAAATGTTAAATGATCAATATAAAATAAATGATATTTTAGCCCTTATAGTTTAGTACCGGAGAAAGCTTATTTTATGCATTTCGGAGTTGTTTAACTTTAAAGATTGTGCAAGCGTTAAAATGTTGTCAAGATTGGATCCGCTCAAAGGATTAGTCAATGTAGAAGAAAACATTGAAAATCTTGAGAATTTTGAAGTGGTAAGATGGTATTGACTTTTCTTATGTAAATTGCAATTATTTTATATATTGACTTTTAAAAGTTCCATTACAAACTTATGGTAATCGACGACGTAATCAATTTTTCTTGATGTATAAATGAGATCAGAATTTGGCAAGCCACTAGGAACAACTTTTGAACTTCATGTTTTATATTTTTGTTTGCAACTTGAAAGTTAAACTTTATGTTTCTAACTAGTAGGAGTACCATTTTATCATAACTTGAAAGTTAAACTTTATGTTTCTAACTAGTAGGAGTACCATTTTATCATTTTATGTTTGAAACTGTAGATCTTTATTTAAGGAATTTTAGAATTTTATGTTTGAAACTTTGTAATTTATGTTTGGAAAATTGGAACATTGATTTTTTTAAAGAAAATATTTGGTTTCCTTAGTTTCTAAACCGAATTGGAATTTGGTTTTCGGTTTGGTCTAGAGGGATTTGACTTAGATTTGGTTCGGCTTTCAATTTGGACAAAAGAAAAAATCAAACCAAGAAAACTGATTCAAGAAAACCGACAAACCCATAAACCAAACGAAGTCTCACCCCTACTTGTTTTGGTAAAAGAAATACAAAATTGCAAAATTGGTCTCTATGGTCAGCCAAAAATTACCACTTTGGTTCAAAATGAGTTTTTATTATGGTTTTGTTTCTTGGCAGATTTGAAATGAGTCAAAAAAAACTAATTTGCCCCTATTTGTTTCCATTTTTATTTACTTTACTATTTTTTATTAAAGAAAAACAAAAGAGAAATCTAACACCACCCCACTTACACCCCTATCTTTAACACACACCCATTTCATCTCTTTCTCTTAACTGTTTGGCCGACGGTGCAACCTTACTCGCTGGAGATCACTGTCTGTCGACGACGTCTCTTCCATGGTAGTTAGACGGACCACCACACTTCTCTCTCTCTCTCTCTCTCTTTCTCACTCTCTCTCTCTCTCTCTCTCTCTCTCTCTCTATATATATATATATATATATATATATATATATATATATATATATATAACCCTTACTGTAAATCTAGCACTGGCACCACCGTTATTTACGATGGAGGCTCTGAAACTCTAGTTATGGTCTGAGAGATAAGGTGCTTGTGAGATCTGAAAATCCTAGTTACGGTGAGAGATGAGGTGCTTGTGTTTTCATATTTGTGTGTATGAGAGAGAGAGAGAGAGAGAGAGAGAGAGAGAGAGAGAGAGAGAGAGAGGAGGAGGAGGAGGTTTTCAATCTAGGTTTTTAGGTCTGTGATGAGAAGGGTGGTTTTTTGACGAGAAAGGATGACGGTCAGGCGTCTAGTAAGATCTTTTGACAGATTATCTCTCCTTCTCCAACTAGTGGTTGTCCTTACTTTGTCTCTCTCCTTTTCACGAAACTGCAAGAGATCAGGAGGAGAATATTGGTATTAGGTTTCCGAAATCGATTGAGAATATTACATATATTGTTGTTGATAATGGGTATTATCTGGCGGAAGATGGAATTGATTATATGATTATGGCATTGGGAGTTGGTTATATTGTTGTTAATGGTGTTGGTATTGTGGGTGTGGATAGTTTGGGTTTTGGGTTTCCAAAACTGTAATGGAAAATCTTGGGGAGTGTTTGTTTTGTCAGCTGACTCTTTAGTTAGAACCGTCTTGTTTGGATTTGCCATGAGAATCCATTTAGAATGGAGTTAGAGAGAAAATGAATGTTATTAAAGAAAAATGGAATAGAATTGGAGAACGTATGTTTTTTTTAAGGTGGATTGGGTAATTATATTTGTAAAATATTTATTAAAAAAAAAAAAAACTTTTTGACTGGTCAATGGTCAAAGATGGTCACGGGTTAGAAAACCCGTCTGGCTTCAATGCTGCGGCAACACCTTGTCAACTCAACTGAATCGACTCACCGCCAGCGGTACCACCCACTGTCTACCCCGCCAACTCCTTCCACCGTACGAATACACAAAGCTGCCCACTGGTTTTGAATCTATAATTATTGGCTCAACCCAACCCAACCCAACCCAACCCAAAGCAAACATAATTCATTTGGTCCTAAAATGTAACAAGATAAGATTGAAACCGATTCATCATAAGGACATAATAGCAGCATATTCTATTTAATCTTTACTACAAAGTACACAGTACACAATACCCATTACACCCACGTCTGTTGATAAATGAAAAGAGGAAGAAGGAAATGAGGATGTCCATAACAGTAACAGTCACTGCTGCTTGTCTTGGACACTAGTACTACCATTGGACCTTGCGGGGGCCACCTTTGCGCGTGTGGAGCGATCAGCCTGAGAGAATTGGATCAATATCTGCATCAAAACAGTTACAGCCGCCAACCCAACCCCAGCAAAAGTCAAACCCTTCCATGAAGACAACAGATTTGACCACTGCAGGAATTTGAACGTCCCGAATACAATCAGGCATGCCCACGAAACCACCACCTGTTTGTTTGTTATTTTATATAAAAAATTAATACTTGAGTGGCTTAAATAAATGGATAAAATTAAAATGCTTGTCTTTTTCTGTCATCTGTGTTGTTAATTGTTACTGTTACCACTAGAGACTTCAATGGCCGGCCAATGTCAACGAGTTCAGAATCAGGAAAGGCGTTTAATTCTCTATGCTTGTCTAGTACATCATCCTGTAAATGTAAATATAAAGATATATGATTTAATTAAAGCTTTAATAAAAAAAAATTATGTACATATAAATAAATAAAAACTCACCTTGACAACAAAAATATCTTTGCACCATTGTGCAACAGCTTCGTCTGATTCTGGCAGATCCTTCATTGAATGACGCTTCACTTTCACATGAATCTACACAAAACAAAAAATCCACTGTCTATTCATCCACAAAATAACCTAAATGCAAAAAATAGCAAAATAAAGAAATGAATGAAACAGGCTTACCACAGAAGACTGGCCTTTAAAGAGCCTGAGCATTGTTGGTGGAGTTGTATCTTTGGGAAGAGCAACTGTCATATCAATAATAGCAGGAACAAATGATCTCATCTGACTCACTGAAGTAACAAACCCCTGACACATATTACATATTACATATTAATAACAATATTAACTACTAAACAAAAACCCAACAAAAGAAATAGACAAATAGTACCTTTGTTCGTGGAATTAAAACATTTCTAGGAACAGGTAATCCCAATGAAGATGCATATTCTTGAGCTGCTAAAAGCTTGGCTTGTGTAAACCGAGTCCCCTCCACAAAAAGAGCCAACCAAAATGGCTGAGGGTAGTCTTTTAGCCTCTCAAGTCCCAACTGCAATATAATAATTACATAAATAAAAAAAGTTATGAAATCACTTGCAAAATAGCAATATAATAAATGTGAAAAAATATGATGTGATTATACCTTTAGAGTAGTTTCATCTTTAGCCCAGCTTCTCTCAAGAAAAAGATACTCAGAAAACCACATTGACCAACCGATCACCTGCATAAATCAAACACCTTTATTTTTCTTTCACATATACAACAACAGTCGAAAAGATATTATAATTTCACCTCAAGAGCTTCATATGTGACATATTTAACTATTTCATTTTTTTTAATACTTACTGGAAGATACTTTGATGATTTTTTCATGACAGCCAATGTGCTACCAAGACACCCTGATCGCTGTTACAAAATAATTTAAAGAATATTATTAGTAAAGAGCACACATAAATAATTACACAACAATAAGGGGTATGTTTGATAATCACCTGAGCAAACACCCACCCAATGAGCCAATCTATGTCACTTTTATGATTAGCTATCACAAGAGCATGTTCTTTACCTGTAAAGACATATGGGGTAAGCCAAAATCAAAAATTACAGCAATAACACATTCTACAATATCCAACTTACCCATCATTTCTAGAGTTTCAGGATCTGTGTACAGACAAACCTGCATCAAAACAACCAAAGAAATCTTAAGAAAAAAATCATTTAAAATATATTGTTATGTGTATATTTGGTCCACAAAGGATGATAATGCATAGGAGGTTTTAGGTAAATAATGAAACTGCTAGAAAAAAGTAGGCATGTGTCTTAGAAGAATATGGAATGACAAAGATATTCAACCTAACTTAAAAAATTCAGATAAAAGTCAATTAAACAGCAGTTGGGGCTAGCATTTGATTTGCAGTTAGTTAAAACTAAAGTTTAGTGATGAGTATAGAGAGAAAACGAATGAACTTTCTTTGATGTTCTCAATTACAGAATAAAGCAAATGAAAGGCTCCTAGAAACTATATTCATTCAGTCTTTATCACTTAATGCAAATGAACGCACAGTTGCAAACCCTATGCAGTAATTTAAACTTTCAAAGCCCTAATTTTGAATAGCATCATCGTTGTAAACATATATGTTAAAACTCAAACAAAGAAAACAGTAAGCATCAAAAAGCCCTAATAAATTTCTGATCTATGAGTAATCGGATTTTCAGATAAACTTCATAAGTAATTTAAAAACTTTTAACTTCAACAAAATCATCATTACCTTGACTCCTGCCCACCAATCAACGATCCACACAAGTTCCAGCCACAACAGCTCCGCCACCATTCTGTTAATTCTTCTAAATATACTCTTCGAGAATGGCCGTATAGTCACATAAATAATAGCCTAGAAATAGTAAATCAACAGTAACCAATAGCACCTAGTGAGATTCAGCGGTATAATATAAGCTCGAACGAGTGAATCTTAGTAAAAATTTCAGTAAACAGACGAAAAAAACTACCAATCTAGTAAGAGGTAAGAACAAATAAAGTTGCAATCAAACACTCGCGTAATCCCAAGGGTATAAGATTCTAAAATTGAGCAAATCCCTAACAAGATTTCGATCCAGTGATCTGAAACAGGGAAATGATAAGGGCAAAAGTATACCTGAATGAGATTAACGATGAGACCAGAGGCGAAGAAGAGGAGGCCAATAGGGACGATAGTAACTGCCGCTGCGATAGCCATGGCAAAGGTCGCCGCACTGAAACTGTGTGTGTAACCACAGCTCCCAGAGAGAGAGAGAGAGAGAGAGAGAGAGAGAGAGAAAATCCAAACGAGTAAACGGTGTGTGAAATTGGTGTTATTGTGTCAATCTTGCGTAAAAAGAGTGTGCGTTGTAATTTATAGGTTTTTTTTATTGAAAAATATAGATGGAATGATAATATATAGTCGAAGCACGAAATTTTTCATTAGGTCAATTTTGGTTACCTGGTTTTGTTTATTTGGTGTTGTGGGTGTAAGTTCGTCACTTTTAGAGTGCTTTACAAAATTGCACATGTTGCACTACACTGCACACCTATGGCTATAATTATTGATAACGAATCTTTACAATTGTTAACATGTTATTCAAATGGGCTCTTAGAATTCTGATAATTAAGATTCAATATTATAAATTAATATTTATTATGACAGTGTGTTTGATATAGACTAGTTCGAGGTGGTCATATCAGCCTCCATAAGTGTTATGAGAAAGAATAGATTTGTTGAGATAATTTTCTGATTCATTTCTAAAACAAACTTACAAGACAATTAATAACACTTAACTCGTGTAAGCGCAAGAAATGGAAACATGATTACAATGCAACATATCTAGATCATGCATGCATAATTGAGATAACCTAAGATGTAGTGGTCGTTGACCACTTCTTGGTTTCTAGGGTAGAACATGGTTGGACTAATCCAAATAGCTAGCTGGAGTCTTCTGTTTTCTGATGGGTCTTGTGGGATGGTTCGTATCAATACTCTTCCCATAAGAATGACCCTTGTCCTTGAGGTTTTGTTTGGCGATGAAGTCTAGGCGAGCTATTTTGAAGTTAACAGTGTTCTCTCGTGTTGCTTTTATGAGATCCTGACCACTCAACTAAATCAACAATTGTGAATCTTTGTGTTGCATTTGTGAGATCCACAATCCTATATATAACCATTTATAGACATTTGGTTGTTTATGCTTTCCCTTTTTACGCAACCAACTCATAAACTTCAAGAAAGATCCATTATGTGTGTATTTCTTGGATACTCGTCCAATCACCATGGATACAAATGTTACGACCTTTCATTGTGAAAACTGAACATTATATTAGATGAAACCAGATTTCTATTTTGCCATCAACCATGCCCAAATCCTTATACAAACTTTATCGAGTCACTTTTCTCGGTTTTCTACCCATAAACAAACACGTTCCAATCATCCTTATCACAACCTATGGCTACCAAACCCTTCCTTCCCCAAATGAATGCCACAAGGCACAAACCCTCCATTAACGCTTCCCTTAACTGGATCAAACTACTCACAACATTCCGTCTAACCCTTCTTTATTTACTCATCGCATTCAACAATGCACCAATCCCCTATTCATATGTGTCATCCATACTGATAACACTTGCTCCTGACACCTTGTTTCCAATAGCAACTCCCACTAGATCCCCTCCCAACAAACTATAGTCACCAAAAGCATGCATGAAATCTTCAATGATCGACAACTTTTTAATCTACAAGCGTCAACAACGATGTGCATGATTCCTTGTAATCAAAATAAGGCACTTAATGACACCAATTGACACATAGCCATGCGAGATAAATTTAATAATTTATTATACAACCATATATAGAAATTTGTTCCCAAACCACACGATGTTAACATAATCCATTTATGTAGATTTATTGTTTCAAATTATACTTGAATGGCTCTTTCGAATGATACAAGGCATGTTACGGCCAATACATCAATGTAGTGTTAAAAACGATGTTCTTCATGGTCACCTACATGATATCGTCTACATGTGGGTTCTATTACCCAACTTATTCAAGCCATGCATGTCTTCTTAACAAATAACTTTATGGATTAAAACAAGCTCCACAAGTCTAGTACCAATGCTTTTGTGAATATATTTCCATTATTTGTTTTTCTCACTGTTGCTCGAATCACTCACGCTTTATTTATTGACATAATAATGATATTAGTTATCTCCAACTATATGATGATGACATCATCCTAACAACATCATCAAATCATTTATGCAACCAAATCATGCAAAATTTTCATGGGAATTCTCCATGAAAGGTCTCAAACCCATATAGCCAAAGTATCATATTGTCGTGAAGGAAATCCCATTCAGTGATTCTCCCGATGATATCAAAAACTAGTTTAGGAATCTCCTCCCTTAGTTATCCTGATATTTTACACATATTCCTTTTTGTAGTGAGATGGTTTAGATGAACTGCCATGTACTTGATTGTTAGGGACATGCCACCAAAAATCGGTTAGGTACACATTCCTCATAAACCACAAGAATTCCACTTCCTAGATGAAGAATTCCAATCGGCAACACTTTTATTTTCTCTCTTTACGGTTTCGGAACGTGTACTATTCTTTACTTGCGGAAAGTCTATAAAACACATGAAATAGTCTTACGAATATGAACACACATGTAGCTTGTAGAGAAGCTCAAAGACAAGTATCTTTAACATACTGTGAGACTTTAACCGAGTCAAGTAAATACAATAATGTGATAGAAGCTCGATTAAACTGGGATGATGGAAAGAGATAGTCTGCTTCCATGAAATTAACATAAACACCAACCTTACACGAGGAGGGTGTCCTCCTTGAGCACCGAATGCGAGTTACACCTTCCACTCACTCTTCATCTTAACATCAAATTTAGAATTCCACTCACTCCTCAACTCAACATCGACTCACTCCCTTTATGTTATATTTTTATATGCACTTTTACGATATTAATTCTATATAGTATTGATATTCCAATATATAAAGTATACATAATAATAAGGTTGTGCATGGGTCAGTTTAGGTCGGTTTTGTCTTAGAACTGAACCCAAACCGATAGTATCCGCTTTTAATAATTTTAACCCAAACCGATGGGTTCGGTTGCTTGCATCTTTGCTCCACTCTTGTGAGAGTAAAGAAAAATCGTGAGCTCCCTTCTCCCTCTTCCTCTCTTCTTTTGCTTTGAACATTTTAAGATTTGTTGCTTATATTATGCTCTCTTTGAACCATACTTGGGTTTGGTTCAAAGATTAAGAGTTATACAAGAGTTTTATACAAAAGAACTAGCATTCTACATCAAGTTGAGTCATTGTTGGTGTCTTTAAAAGTTCATCATTCTTCATCAACTTCCAAGCTTCCCAAGAGGACCCAAAGAACTACAAAGGTTGTTATTTTTTCATCTCTTCTTTGGCTGGTATTTAATCTTTATACAACTTGCAATATGATCCTTGGTGGGTTGTAACTAGCTTATTAAGTTCAAAATTTATAGACTTCCGTTTGCTATATTTATGAGTTTTATGAAACTAATTTTGAACTAAAACCCAACAAAAACCACTTAAACCATGAAACTCTCATAACTACAACTACAAACTAACTCAATCAATGCACTTCACAAGGCCGAAAACTCATACGTCTAGACTCCAAATACCATACCCAAGCATGATGATCATCCATTTGTCACACCAACCCCTTATCCCTGACTGGGATTACCTCCCAACCATGCATAATGAATTCTTAATGCATCCCAAACGTGAATTCCAACCAATCCTAAATTCGGAAACTAGGTTCAAAAGGCTCGGATACACACTTGACTTCCAGACGAATTATCACTGATCCACTGCTCCTATAGGCCAAACATTGGTCAATACAACAGAAAATTTTGCGTGACATCTAAACTCCCACACTAACACAGGTGCACAACTGTCTGACAAATCGTCCAAGAGACCTACAACGAACTCCATCACGATAATTTAACTCACGCGAACCATTCTCACAAAAATGAGCAAGGATCCACTAAGAAGGAATTCAACAAGGAACTGCGGATAAACAATCGTGACTTTTCCAACAAGTCACCTCCTAAAAATGCTCGCCCTAAACCTACCGACCGTTGTGCCATCAATACCAATACTATACTGCTCAAACACCCAATTATTCTAAATAACTAACGAATCAACATACGTGTCTCCACTATATAACTGTTGAGTCCAACTCACCTAAGTCAATGTAACACCTGCAGATTCGGGTCAGTCAATTAAGATATAATAAGCGTTAAAAATGACTTTTAGATAGAATTTTTTTTAAATAATAACCTTAACCAAAGTAATATTATATGTGACAAGGATTCCATACATATAAAGAACTTTGAAATCCAACTTCGTATGAAAAAGTTATGCTTCTTCGAAGTTTCACGATTAAACCGGCACGACTCTGCGTATCAAAGAAAGCAAAAAATTTAATAAATTACATTTTAGACTAAAGTGATCTAAACAAAATTCGTAGTAGTCATTTGTTAGGAGTGTCAAGCCCAACAAATAATATAACACCCCAAATTTCAGAGGTATGACTTAAGGGTTTAAAGTGTAATTTTGAAGAAGGGACTCGACGAGTAGGTACGCTTACTCGCCGAGTCGGAGCGGGTCTTGGGTCGCAAATTAAGTGGCCAACTCGCCGAGTCGGAAGCTGGACTCGACGAGTTGGTGCTGGAATGAGAAAAACCCTAATCTCGGGGGTTGCACCCTATTTAAAGGACTTTATGTCCTTCTCTCAGCCTCCTTATTGCCCTTGAGAGTCAGTAAACCCTAAAAATCGTGTGAGCTTCCATTGTTAAAGAGATTTGAGCTTTGGAGGAGGAATATTGAGAAAGGAGCTTGAAGATCAAGAGGCTAGCATCAAGGGATTGGTGTAGATCCAGAATCTACTGCAGTTTGGGCACATTTTGGAGGTAACAAGCTGTTACCTTGACTCCATTGCATTTATATCTATTCAAGAATGAGATTTGGGGCCCTTTTTGCATGTTAAGGATTTATTTCGGGTTAGGGGTCTAGATCTGAGGTTGCTACTTCAGATCTAGACTTGTCATGGTCCAGAAACTCACAAAGTATCAGCCTTTGGCTTGTTGGTGAAGCATCCTTGTCTTAAACCTTAGCCCTAGAGTGATTTGGGCTTATAGCTCCTTGGTTTCACGTAAAGTTTGCAACTTTACGTGGGAGTTATGCCCTAGAAGAGTGGATCTACAGTTTGGAGCCCCTGCATGGCTC